AAAAAAAAAACAAATGAGTAACAATAGATCAAAGCTCCGATCAAGCTATGCAACTTTCCACTAAAAACTACATCAATTACGCGTCTAAATTCTCCCCTAAAAATAGCTTTGCTACTAAAACAGGATGACTTAAAAATGTGACGGTACGTCATTTTTAACATCTGTGAAAGTGATGCTCTTCTAGACGGAGCAAGTTAGAAGCTAACTTTTTAGAATATAATAAAGCCAGGAGAATGCATTGATAAGAAATCAATAGAAAAAGAAAAACCACTTGCCTCGTCGTTCGTGATGGGCAACAGATCGCCACATGCTGCATTATAGCATAGAGTAAAGGGCACATTTTCCAAATGATGCAGTTTCTCTACAAGACCTCGAAAACTATCGTAAGAGTGTACCTCTGGGTTGCTGGGGGTCAACGAGAACCTCCTCCATTCGGAATCAAACTTTGACTTAACCTAAAATGATTTCGTGCACCACATAACATGAAGAAAGGGGAAGAGGTGGATCAATAACTTACCTGCAACAGCGACGGCATTGACGGCACATGAGTGTGATGAATATGAATAGGCGTTATTTGTGTTCGTCCATTCTACAATAATAGACTATTTACAGATTATTGTACTCAAAAAATAAAATAACGAATAAATTCACTCACCGAATTTCTGCTATTCCCTGATCCACGACTGGACGATGCCCTGCCGTCTGAATAGGACATTCTGCAAGAAAATAGTAATTGACAGAAAGATCACCAAAATCCCACTCAAATAACAGAAGCACGATATTTACATCTGCTCAAAAAAAGCACATCAAGCAGCACAACGTGTTTATCATCTACAAAACAAGCAATATTTAGTCAAAGGAAAAAAAGTAATGATAAGATACCCGCCAGCTTGTAATAAAACAACGATTTAATATCACACATTTGTATACTAGACATATAACTGATTGGTCTCATTCATTTCATAACTCGCAATATAAGTTGCTTTCAGTCTTCGTCGGAATCTAGCTCTAAGCCTTCGATTTCCTGAAAAAAAGGGAAGAATGTGAGGAACAAACATTATTTTGGAACCATTAAAATTCTATGACTCTTAGACTCACGAAGAATAAAAAAATGGGATCTTACCTCATCAAACAAGGACTCATCGATTTCCACACTTTGTTCAATTAAGGCAACGTCGGAAAGACTGAGTGTGGCATCCCTCAGGAAAAGCTGTTTACCAGTTAGTTTACCAGCTAAAGCGGCCTCGCGATCCTGAAAACGAAGATGGCGCTACTGCAAAACTTTTACTCAGCAAAAACCATGAGTAAATTCTCCACAGTAAGCTTAGCCTTAGTATAAACGGCGGTAAATATACACCGAAGCACTAGAAAAAAAGATGGATCTGTATATTTCTGTGCTGAACGAGCAGCGATAAAAAATGAGTCATCAAACAATAAAAAGTGTGGGAGTTTGACATGACAAAGCGGTTTTCAAAAGCGCTTCACTCTATCTCATTAACCCGCAAAGTTTAATGAAAATGAAAAATCCGCACTAACATTACTTTACCAAACCTATCTGCGAACTGCTAAGCGAAAATAGATACCATTATGATAACAATGTAATGATAAGAAATATAAACGACCATATGCAGCTTGAACGATTAGTTGCATAAGTTGATGGAAAGAAAGTCGGGAGAGGGAAAAGCAGTCGAAACTCGAGATGAGAGAAAGGCAATCAAACGAAATCTACAAGGTTCGAGATGTAGAGATTAGCTCATCATTATGATATGCCTCATCCTTTTGTTTGCAGACGCAGAAAATTCCGGTTCGAGATAAATTCGTAGCTGGACTCATAATCAATTTTCAAAATGATTCGAACTCAACACAAGGAAAAAGTATATCTGAGCTCTAAATTGATGTAATAACAACCAAACAACAAATAGCTCAAAATGTAGATTTAAGGAGAGAAAAACGACTAGTGCGGAATGGTGGTTGCCTTTACCTCATCTAGAATGTGGATAGTGAATGAAAGCAGTAAATGATGGAGAAATTGAACGAACCGCAGGGATATTAATGAAAAAGTGAGCTGAAATCTTGCACCGAAAAAACCTGAAACACAGAAAGCACTTAAGAGTCGTGAGCTTGAATGATGTTGTTCCTTATGATATAGACCGGCTTAAGCAAGCAAATGTCTTCTGAGAAAATTAATCACAAGTATATTAAGAGTTTTCTGTGCACATTAAAAATATTTTGAAAAAACATAGTCGTGTTTGCAAAAGAGTTTCGTTTTGAGAAGAACCCTGAAATACAAACTATTCAACACGCCTTGTTCAATTTATTAAGGGGAAATAGATGTTATCAAATGTAAAGAGAAAAAAAGGAAAAGTTTCTACGCTACTAATTTGAATAAGGTCTATATACCTATCCAACACTAATCAAAAGGAGAGTAGATGCAGAGCTAGCAGGAAAGAAATTCTTTTAAGAGAACTT